TCGGCGTTCAAGAGGGTTCCTCGAGCTGAAGGGATCCCCCGAATTTGGTGTGTATCCATCACGCCGTTACGGAGATATGGCCGTTCAAAGTTTCAATGGTATTCCATACACTTAAGCTTTAAAGCGTTTCATCCAGGTCGCCAGTAGCAAACAATGGAGCGTGCTCTGCTGGACAAACTACGTAATTACACCATTTACAAGCATTTTATCTGTGTTTTATGTTCTGTAAAAAAAATTTCATATCAGTGGCATATCGGCGGCATATTTGCCGATACCGATATATCTGCGACAGGCTCATATCGGCCGATAAAATAGGCAAAACAATATATCGGTCGGGCTCTAATTGCAAATTCATATTCCGCATTTCTGACATTATAACTCACAATGATGAGTTTTTTTCTTTCAATTTTGAGAAAAAGCCAGAATCAAGAGATATAAACTCAGAGTTAATTCTTAGTTTATTTCACACAATTCTGACTTTTTTCTCAGATTTGCAAGAAAAAAGTAAGAATTATGAGATATGAACTCAGAATTCTGAGAAAAAAGTAAGAATTGTGTGAAAAAAAAGTCGCAAGTACCTTCCATAGGGTCAGAACACACTCCACACGGGCAGATTTTGCCATATTTCGTGCAGCTGTTGGCTGCTGGGGTCAAAGGTCACCGTGATCCTGAGTGAGGGAATGCAGCTTTACTTCATTGTTCTTTCTCCCAGAGGTCAGTAATGAAGGCCCAATTGAAAATGCTCTGTGTACTGACCTGCTATTAAAGATTGTTGTGATTATGAATGACTGTAATTGGGGGGAATTAAAAAGCATGCACTTGTATTTACAGGAGGCTTTTTTGCTTTTACGCTTCAGCGGTTCTCTGAGAGAACCAGAGCACGTTTTTGGGTCAGATTGGATCCTTTGTACCAAAACATGTCAAGCTCTGGTCTCTATGCAACAGCTGAACTAAACAGATACAGTTTAGCTGAAAGATGTGATGCTAATGAGGCTCCGGAAATATCGGTGAGGTTTGTTTCACCGCAGGCTCATGCTGACAGACCTTTGGTCCATTTTGCATTTAGATTACATAAAACTTAACCAATCCCAGTTCGTTCGGATCTCTTTAGGGTACAAATAACTGCAAAGCAATCTCAGTCTGTGAGCGGTTATGCACTAAACTACTAGCAGAATTGTGTATAGACTTTGTCCAGATTTCTGTCCATCCAAAAGTCAAAATTATTTAATTTCTCAGACAGTTTTGTGCTCATGGATATCTATCTGTCACTCCACTGTTCACAATCAGGTTTATTTTAGTATTATCTATTTACTATTACACTTTTATTTATATTTAAAATTAGCTTTTATTTTTATACTTTGTTTTCATTTTAATTTTAGTTACATTTTTAGTAATCTTGTATGTGCTTTTGTAATTTTTATTAGTTTTTGTTTATCTTAAATTTAAATTTTAAATTTTATTTTATTTTATTCTCGGTTCAGTTTTAGTTCATATTTATATTATTTCTAGTTAGTAATTTTAGTGCTTTAACTTAAACTAAATGAAAAATTGTGCCTTGGCCACTAATTGAAATAAGTTTGTAATGAGTTTTTCTTGTTATTTTCTTTTATTTCAGTTAACAAAATGTTTTAATAGTTTTAGATAACCTTCGCACTTTGCCGTTTATTTCCCATTTCCTTCCATAAAGGGATGCATTTTTGAGTAAAACAGAATATTTAACAATAAAAAAGGTAGGGTTATCCATTTGATTTCACTGTGAAAAGTGAAGGTGATTGGGGGAGGGCTTAATGATGTCTTGGTGATGTCAGCGAAAATGAAAGTAATTTCAGAGGTAGAGAAAGTAGACTTTTGACTTTTTCAGGCTTTGCAACATCTTGAATCAACACTGAACTGATTTGAGCTGCATAATGGCACCATTGTCTTCTGTAGAGCTGCTTTATAGCTGAAATTGATTTCATAACTGATGCATTTTGCAACATTAAAACTGTTTATTACTGCGAAGCTGCTTTGAAACAGTCTGTATTGTATAAAGCACTATGTGCATGTGACATTATGAAAGGCTGGGACTACGAATTGCTTGTTTTAGTTGATCGGCAGGTCCATGACGTCCGAGCATTCGATGTACTTCCTTTTTCAACTGAACATTTAACAAGCACGACTCTTAGAAATAACAGCGTGCTCGACCAACACTATGCATGTTTCAAATGACTTATGTAAATGTTCAGGCAGATTGCTGAAAACCCGGCCCGTGCGGTGACAGTATCCCACAATTCCATCCCAACGTTCCCCAAGGACGGCTCTCTGCATTCAGAACATTCTCCATTCAGATCCTAACCACAGGAGTGTGTCTAGAGAGCAGCGAGGAGCGCGCAGGGGTGGTGGTGAAATTATGCTTTTATACTCGGCGTCTTGTGCCAAGCCGGGGTTTATGCTAGAGCTGATGTACTAGGAGAGAAATTGAATCTTCTCCCAGACTTAATCCTCAATCGCTCCACCTGTAATGCATTTTGGACTCACACGTTCGGTTCCCCCACACAGTTTCATGCTTATATTTTCAGCCTCTTCTGAACCCAGAGTGTCTGATTATTTATCACAGGCCAGCGAGATGTTTCAGACAGGCAGTTTTAAAATGTTTCGAGACTTGCAAATAGATTTAAGTGTAAACACCTACGTGTCTGCGTACAATTATTCTTTTCTCATGTATAACTTTGGCTTGAGCGCATCTTTCCGATGGAACTGAATGTTCGAAAAGGTCGTGACACGTTCGTACAGTAAACAGGCTCGAAATGGCCTCAGGTTAATGCATTTCAGAGATCAATCTGGATTCGTTATGAAGGTGAGCAGAAAACATTTAGACGTTTAGAGAGGACAATGTTTAATATTTAAATAGTTAAATATTTGTTAAATGTTAAATATTTGATCATTGCATCTTATCGCTTCGAAAAAGTAGTGCCTTTTAGTTGCAAACCCGGGATTTTGGCCACTTATTTGCAACTAAGAATATTTTGTGGTATACTGATGTGTCCTTCGTACTTTAGCCCATGCAGGGTCATTATACTAAAAATAAAATAAAATAAAATAAATTTTTCTGAGACATTCTGTTGTTTGAAATAAAATAAAATAAATTATTTATATAATAGTAAACTCAGCGATACCAAAATAACACTGCTTTAGTCTTGTCTTTCTTCATTTTAAGACCACTTAAGCTCCTTTATACCATTTATAATATTCCATAATGCCAAATGGGCTTTTCCTTCAACATATTTCCCACTTATTGCATTAACCTATGATGACCTAACATCATAATACAGGATTTAGGCATTTGTTTTGACAGGGGCGTTTCCTTATCCTCAGAAGCAGCTCTGCTGTGTTCCCACTTAGGATTTTTCCCTGCAATTTTTATCCTTATCTTTATTTTGCTGTTTGGAGGACATGACGCAAGGACTTAATATTAGTTGGCTCTCGACTGACCCGGGAACCGAGACCGGAAGAGACTGTTGCCTCTGCAGCTTTCCAAACAAGCACGCCCACATTCCCTGTAGCCGGGAAACTCGGAGCGTCATGGTGGGATGTGCATGGACATCCATCAGACTCTTGAAATGCCTCGGCTGCCCGTTTCTGCCCAGCCAACGAAGAGATGGTCCTTAGTTCCTGTGCTGGAAACCGGTTTTTTTCCTCCTGGGAATTCTGCCCACATTAACGAGTGCCTGTGTGAATGGCAACCAGATTGGGAATGCCATCATTCATAGGATTTTTGTTTGATCTCGCTCTTGCAACGATAGGGACTTGTGTTTACCGGTGAATGTTAAATAGCTAATTATATATTAGAGGAAAATTGCTAAGCAAGAACTAATAGCTATAAGAAAAACCAAATGATGGTCATATGATTTTGTTTGATCTCAGTCAGGCATTGACAAGGAAATGTTTACTGTGAATGTTAGCAAACTGTAAAATTTTACTGTAAAGTCAAAAGCTTGAATCAGATAAACACTTAAAAATCTAAAATAATTCTTGATATCTGAGGCTAATAACTGAAGTTTTGTGGAAAAAACTTACAAAGTCTTAATTAAACCAGCAGAAAAACCAGCGACAGTGACTTTCATATGAATTCTGTTTGATATTGCAAATCGTGATTTTATGTGTTAACGATTTGATATCGCAAATCATGTTAATGAACTAAAATTTTACTGTAAAAGAAAAATCTGTCTGCAAGAACCAATACTGAAGAAAGAAAAACTGAATTAATTAAACTTTAAAATATCAAATAATACTGTACTTCATATCTGGGGTGGATAAATTGAGTTTTGTGGGGGAACAAATGCACAAATGCAAAAGATTAAACCTTATCTTGATCTTAAACCTTAATTAAATCAGTAAAAATAATTGCTAAAAATTGACATTGATTATCAGTGAATGTTAATAAACTATAAAATTTGTTATTTTCATAATAATTTAGTTTGATATCGCAGGGAATTGTGATTATCAGTCAATGTTAATGTTAACTATCAAATTCACTGTAAAAGAAAAATCAGTCAGCAAAAAAATAATACCAAAGAAGAAAATTAAAAAAGTGAGACAACATTAGATAAAATAAACACAAAAAAATCAATAACGTTCTTCATATCTGGGGCTAATAAATGAACTTTTTATACAAATCCTTAAGTCTGCTAAAATATTATCGTTAAAGGAAAGTCAATGACAAGAAAGTGTGAAAACCCAAAGTGCGACATTTATATTAATTTTGTGTGACAACGCAGGGAATTGTGATTTTTAGTTTAATGTAGGCTACTATAAAATTGTAGGAAAATAAGAAAAGCTGCACTCTAAAAAATGCTGGGTTGTTTCAACCCAACTTTGGGTCAAATATGGACTAACCCAACCGTTGGGTTAAATTTTGACATTAAATTTTTAACCCAAACGTTGGGTTAGTCCAGATTTGACCCAAAGTTGGGTTGAAACAACCCAGCATTTTTTAGAGTGTGTATTAAAACATTTTTTAGGGGTCGCATCAGGTACACGTAGTGCCATTTCACCTTTTGCACAGCACACACACACAAAACTGATAAAGTTATTTAATAGTTAGGTTTAATAAAACCATACGACTTTTTTTTTCTAAATTCCAAATGTGAAAAATCTATTTCCCGCCAGTTAAACGGACCCCATAAACGGAGAGGTCCTGACGATGACGTCGGTGAAGGTGAGTTCTAAAAATGAAAGAGGGAAGAAAGCACATGGACGCGAGCAGCTGAAATCAATAAATCAACTGACTGATGATCTGAAATATCGGGATCACCGTTTGGCTGTCGATACGGAGCAGCGCGCGCTCTCTGTTAAAGGACCGCCTCGCGGGCGACGGGACACTGGCCAATACGATCCAAAAGTCACGGAAATATTTGTGCAGCGAGAGTTTCCACGCGTGAAAATGATCCGAGAGTGGGAATAATCCGAGAGAGAAACAAAGAGAGGGAGAGAGATCACTGATGATGATGATGATGGTGGCCTAGAAACATCAGGAATTCCTCGCTCCGCTCGACTGGATCTTTAAGGTAATGGGGGATTTTATGCCAAGAAAACGGGCTCGCTTTCCTCCTCCGCGCACCGCGGCTTTACTTTTGACTCGGAGGAGGATGCATTGAAGTCTCGCATGCAGTCTGAGAGTCTCTGGCTCACGTGAAAAGGAACGGCTACTCTGCGCATTAATGCGTGTGTGCGCGAGCGCGTACGCTTACGCGTGCTCTCCCGTGACCGATGGCACTGGAAACCGTGCGCAACGGCTATGCGCGCACTTGTGTCACTCCCGCGGAACAGGACTGCTGGCACTCGCGCTTGGCTCTCGTGTGGAGCCGTAGGAGCCTCTCCTCGGCCGCGTGCGTCGCCTCGCTGTCCGTGCTGCTCGCGCTGCTCTCCGCGGACTGGGACGCGGAGCGCGCGTGTCACTTGGTGACGCTCGCGGAGCTCGCGTGGCAGCTGCTCTCCCCCGTCTTTACGCTCGTGTGTGCCTTCTTCTGGGTGGGCGTGTATCTGCTCCGCTGCGGGGTGCTCATCCGCACCGCCGTGTTCCTGCTCACCGTGTGCCATCTGGGTGAAGCGGCGGCGCAGTCGCTGTTGGATGCGCAGCAGTTGTACTCGTTTACCGCCACCGCGCTGGTGCTGCTCGCCTGCCTGGCCAGCGGGGCGCTCATGGTGGTGCGTCTGGGTCAGGGCATCTCTGTGCTCCTCTTCATCAGCATCATCAGGACCGTATCGCTGCTGTCTCTGCAGAAGGTGCGCGCCAGCTGGAGACCCTACTTGGCGTACCTGCTCGGGGTGCTGGGGGTCCTGCTGGCGAGGTATGCGGACAGGCTGCTGCCGCCGGAGCAGGGCGCATCACACCGGGAGGGATCGAGCGGAGATATTCCGGTATTTAAGAGGCGCAGGAGGTCCAGCTCCGTAGTCTCGTCAGACATGGCACAGCACGGCCAGCCCAGGAGCAAATCTCACAGGAGGACGTCGCTGCCTTGCTTGCAGAGAGACCAGGTAGGGGCTCTTTATTGATCGCGCTGTTGTCGATCACAAACTACGAAATCCGAGCGTGATCGTCTACTGTAACTGCTTGTTCGAGGATTAAAACGTGACCACGCGAACAACAATAACGCCGCGTCAGGACGCGCTTTAAACACTTTTTAGGCTGTGTTGCTTCTTAATTATGAGCGCGTTTAACAAAACGACTGGTTTAGTGTTGCTATCGATCGTATTAATAAAAAATAGGTCACGCTTTACGTTACAGTTTGCATAAATTCTACCGCTAATGAACTGCATGCACTTATTGCTGTTGTATAGAATTATAATCCAATCTGAAGTGTTACCTCTTATTATTATGGCGTAATGGTCATAAATCTATCTATAAAGATGTGTTTCTGTCCGTTGTGAGGTTTTTGTTTGTCCTGTCACTTACTTGGATACTTGGAACGCTTTCACTCAAGCATGCATTCTTAGATTTCATGTATGGCATAATATCAAGCAGGAAAGCTCATGGTTAAAGCAGTGAACTTTGACCTCTTGTACTCTATTAGGTGTGTTTTTGATTTTACAGCTGTGCTGACACACCTTGTGTTATAGGCTATTTGTGCACGTAGACGAAAATCCCGCAGATGTTTATGCACTACAGTGAAGATGCATGTAGTTTACATGAATCTGAAGTTAATGTTTGTATGCGTGTGTTTGTGCATATTAGAGGTATTTCTGCTACATACACACAGAAGACTGTGAAGACTGTGTTGCACGAATGTCATGGTATTTGGCTGCAATTACAGTGAAGCTTTAAGCTATGTAGCTTTTTAAAAGAATCAGTCACCTTATTTTTGTATATTTTTGGTCATCAAAGCTTTTTTTGCCATTTGAATCAAATTTAAAAAACAATAAATATATACATTTTGATTAGTCTTTGCATAATTATTACATATTACAATATTTTTTAATGTATAGTGCATTGTTAGGATAAAGCCAACTATACAGTACTAATGTTTAAACTGTTGATTAGCAAAGTACACAAAATATTTAGTTGAAATTATCTAATTATTGAAAAATAATATGTCCAAATAATTGCCTATTGTTAAGCATGGCGCTGATTAATTGTCAAATAAATTGCAAATGTTGTAGTGACGTTTGCTCATCTTTTTGTCCTGTTTGCAGGCTTGATTTAAGCTTGTTTATGCGAAAATAAGATGAACTTGCATTTAAAGTTTTGCATTAAATCCTGTAGTAAATTTGTAAATGAAGTGACATGGTTTGCATTGTAACAATGGATGAATTTTGCATGAATTAAATTCTTCTTCCTTTGTTATTCTCACTGGACATTTAGTGTTTTCACAGAGAAGTTGGTCTTTTTGCTGCTTTGGTCTTCGAGTATTTAATTTGCGCCCCCTAGTGACCATATAATTAATGCATTAGGGACCTTTTGCCTATGGGAACCTTAAAAGGAACAAAATTTGTGACGAATCCATGCATTGTCGGTGCAACACTTGTGAAATGGAAAAGAACACAGACTCCTGAGTGTGTTTTCCATGTTCTGCAACACACACACCTGGTGCACATGTGTGATGTCTGGAGTGATATTAGTTCCTATAGCGGTTTCTGTGCAGTTGTTTTATCTGTGTGGTCTGGCTGTGTAAACATGCCAGCATGTGACCCCTGCGCTGTTCATGTCGTCCTGGCTGTCTGCTCTGACAATAAACTGTGTGTCTTAATGGGCCACACAGAACAGCGAAGACGAGCCTTTGGTGTCTGTTTGACGTCAGAGTTGGGTTGGTGTGAAAGCTGTTTTCTGTGACAGGGCCGCAAACTCATGTTCAGTTTGCAACTGTTATGAAAACATGGATGCGATCACGTATTGGTGATGTTAATTTGACATTAATTCGAAAGTTTGCATGCTCCTGACATCATTGCACGCTCCTATTTTTAATGCAAAAGTGGTGTGTTTGTAACTTGAATTTGCGAGACTTCAAGTATCATTTGCTTTCAGTTATTTTAACTGTACAAAAATAGTCCATTATGCTGCTTGATATTGCAAACAGGTATTTGTTATCATATGATTATGATAATATATCAAAATAATAAACACACTGGTTTGTAGTGCAAATACTTTTGCCATTTACTGCACTTAGATATTTACATGGCTTATGAATCAGAAGTCTCACTTTCACACTAAACTTTAGAAATTATTTGGCAAACTAAGTATACATTGACTACAGTATAATCCGTTATTAATATTTAATTGGTTCTCCCTTGTACACTGAAAAAAAAAATAGTTTGAAACAATTTTCACTCAAAGAAGTGGCAAGTAGCATTGAATTAAACATTAAATTTTGAAGTACAAAGACTGAAATTTTATTTTCTTCCAATACTCTTTGTCTAATTTACAGCTTTGAATAATCATTTGATTAGTAGCCATTTTTATGCAATATCACAAATGAAACAATTGAAATGCGAAGCACATGTAAAAGTTTTACATTCTCCAAGCACAACTACTCAATATGTTTAGAAAATAACATCAGTATGTTTGAATAAAGGGCAAATATATCAATTTTCCTTGGCTGGACATCACATTTGGCCACTACTGTACATGATGTAGATCAAAGTAGTTCACATCAAGGTCATGAGTTTGATTCCAGAAGAAATGCATGAAGTGATAAAATGCAATGTAAGTCACTTTGGATAAAAATAGCATCTTCCATAAAGCTAATTCATTTAGCTTTAGCTTTTATAATACATTTCCTGGAAACCAAACCCATTATTTTCAGTCTCAGAAAGAAAAAGGTACAAAAGCTGTCACTGGGGCTGTACATTTTCAAAAGTTACTAATATTGTACCGTTTAGGTTCTAATAAGTACACTTTAGGTAGAAATATGTACCTTTAAAGTACTAAAAATAGGTAAATAAGGTATAAAGGTGTACATTTTAAAAGGACACCATCCTTGTGACAGCTTTTTTTTCTGAGAATGTTGGTGTTGCAAACATTTTTTCAATACATTTTTCAAATGCATTGTTAGGATAAAGCCTACTATAGACTAGTAATATTTAGACTATTTAGACTATAAATGTCCAAACTGTGTGTTATCATCACACTCCACTCTTTGAGCTACAGCAAAGCCAGATATAATTGTTACTGTATAATTGTTAATTGTTAAATGTTACTTATGCAAATGTGCCACAGAAGTACTATGTGAAGTCTTAGTCGAACCGAGCATCAAACTTGCATTAGTAAATCTTTTAATTTGGGTGTTTGGTTCATAAACAGGAAGTGAGCTCAGAGCGGCTGTGACCATTATCTGTCGTCCACTCAGTAGAGCACATGCCCTGGGCGCTTTCAGTGACGGACAGAAAATCATTCCCGTTATGAACATCGCTGTGTGAAGTGACTTACGTAACGGTCTTCAAATGGACTGAGAACCAGGCCTTCGCCCACTCGTCTTTCTATAGACTTGAATAACCTTATGTGGAGTTGGGATTTTAATAAGTGTGTCCCGATGTCGAATTTATGAATGGTGTGGCCTGAGCTCTGATACAGTACTTGCAGTTTGAACCTTTAGTTCTCAAGAACTGTTAGTCTTCAAGTGAACTAGTGCTATAGATGATTGAAGGTTATTAAAAGTGTGTTTCTGGGTGGTAAACTGAAGCGTAGCTCACTGCATATGCCTACGTTTAAGCACAGGTCTCCAGAGGACGGTGTTCGTGGAAAACCCCCGTTTAATGCCACGTTGAGCCGTTTCAACTCAGACACCTCACCGCGTGGAGCCTTTAGTAGACTTTAGCGGGTCACTGAATTGCGATTAGCCCAGGGCTGCCTGGAAAAGCTGTTCGCCGTGAGCCGGAGCCTCTGGGCAGAGCCGAGAGTATTTAAATCTGCTCTTAAAGGGGAAGTGAGGCATTTTTCAGTGTTAAAATACTTTCTCCTGTCCCAGTTTAATCAGGGTTTCTATGGGTCTTACAGAGGCTTAATTCCAAAAAATTAAGGCCTTAGAATTGGAGCAGAAAGTCTGACATTTTTAAAGTCATGGCATTCGGTGTTGCATGCACTGCAAAAAATGGAAATATTTCGGAGGATTTTTCTCTTGTTTTCCCATGCAAATATATTAACATCATTAAATCAAGGTACATTTAGCTGAGATGCAAAATAAAGTTATGGAGTCTTGTTATTTTGAGAAATTGAACAAAATTAAGTAAGATTTGTGCTTTTAACTAGATCAAATTTGTCAACGGGGTATAAAAACTAGTTTTCTCTTCGAATTAAGTTGATATTTCTGAGCACATTGGCAGATATTTGACCTTTTTTAATCATAAATTCACTTAATTTTAATAAATTCCTCAGAAAACAAGACTTTTTTTTTTTGTCATATGTCATTTTTGCATCTATTTTGATTTAAGTTTTTTGACATTTGCACTGGAAAACAAGACAAAAATACTGTGGAAGAACATCAGTTATGTGCAGAAGCTACAGTAAAAGGTATTTTGTTCTAGTAAAGCTTGAATGGATGAATGGAGCTCTGTTGGAAGTTGTATTTTCAAACTTCGAAGTGTTGCTAATATAACACATTGTGACATTTACATTTAGAGAACATATTGATGCATTGTGTTTCTCCCTTTATTACTTAAATGTCCTTTACTTGGTCTTAAAAAGGTCTTAAAGTCCTAAACGTACTTTAAAAATTGTGCACAGACAAGTCAAGTATATAATAAAACGACTTGTGCACATTTAAACATACAGAATTTTTCTTCTTGTTTAGAATTCTTGTGTTCTGTTTCTTCTTGTGATTCCAAATTTAAAAAAAATTGCCATAACAGTTATTTAGTGCATGTCTCACCAGTGCTTTTGCAAGTCGGCTACAATCTAGAATGTTTTGTGGCAGACTTTGAATATAAAAGTGCAACTTTTGTCTAGTGTGCATTAGGCTTAAGCCATTCATATTGTAGGTTGACGTGTGTATGAGTGTAAACACTGGCTCTCTAGTGCTTCAAAAACATTGCTGTGTTTGTTTGAG